ATACTTAGGCATTGACCTCAAAAAGCACTGTGCTTATCATCCGCAGAGCACGGGTGCAGTTGAATGTGAAAATGGCACAATAAAACAGAAACTTGCAAAGTGTTGTGCTGAAACAGGTTTGACCTGGCCAAAGGCTTTGCCGTTGGCCCTTTTCTATATGAGAGCAAGAAGGAGGAGCAGGTGTAATCAGTCCTTTTGAAATCATTTTTGCAGTACCACCAAATGTGGGCTTGCACCCTGAAACATCAGCAATCTCATTCACAAATCTGTGTAAAGATAAGATGTTGAGCTACTGTTCTTAATTGTCCTCTCTTCTTGACTGTGTTCGTTCGCAGGTAAAAGCTGCTCTCCCAACCCCGGCAGACCACCCCCTCCACAACCTGAGGCCTGGTGACCACATCCTGGTGAGGAACCTCAGACGGGCGTCCTGGAAATCCGACCATTGGCTGGGGCCCTTCCAAGTTCTCCTGGTTACCCAGACGGCGGTTAAGATCGCAGAGCGAGCCACGTGGATCCACATCACCCATTGCAGGAAGGTCCTACACCCCCCCCCCCCCCGAGTAGTACCGGACAGAACTACTTCATCTGAGCACGAGGCCTCTGCTAAACCTCGGCTCCTGTTTGTGATCAGCTGATCACATAGCCTTTGAAGTGAAAAGAGAGAGAAACTGAAAGATTACACCGAGCTGAAAATGGCTAGGTGCATTTTAGCTAGACTATTTTTAATGCTCACTCTCACCCCATTCACCTGTGGGCATGTTCCAGAACTGATTAATCGAGACGCCCCCCCACCCACCCGGTTTGAAAGCTCATTCCACTTGGATCAATGACTGTACACACGGTGCCAATATTTCTGTGACAGCCAGCACAACAAGCACTGTCATTTTAAACCCGTGTGACTAATTTCACTGTTCGGACATTACTGTTATGATCTGGGCTGAAATGTATGTCTGTTACAGCGTTCCTGATGTGTGCCTCACCTGGTCAGAGGCTCTTTGGACAACAGGTTACTCTGACTGGGGGTACACACTTGAAAATGATGTTTCTAACATTAAAAACAGGGTTAAAATATGGAAAGTTAACAACACTTCTCTTGCCAGAATGTTTCATGTTGAAAATGCTGTTTTATCTGACACGGGTTTGTGCTTATCTCACTGGCTATGATGCTTGTGCACCTTTCTGGCTATCAGTTCGAGTCCCAAATGTTATCTCCAAGTTATCTCCTGTTTTCAGGTCCCTAGACGCTGGTTTTCCTGGGGAGGGGCGCTGACTATTAACCTCCTGCTCTTGCTGGTATGGCGTCCAAGGGTCAAGATGGCAATCTTTGGTGGAACACAGTCAAATCTATTCTGCACACTGCTGGCTTAAACACTTCCTGCTATGCCTGTACTTTGTTTCCACAGGATGCATGTCTCTTCCCGTTAGACCTTGTCCTTTGAACTCTACTGAATTCTTGTGTGCTCTGATGGTTATGACTCCTCCTTTCTTAAAAGGGTCCAACGGCTGGACTTTTCCTAGAACAAACCTTCCAGCACCTTGTGAACACATGTCTCGTATTGCCATCAGGGCCATAAATAGCAGTGTCCTACGCACTGATGACTTTTCTTTATTTGAACCAGTGGGTGCTGTTCATCCCTCCTCCAGCTCCATGTCTCATCCTTTTTGTGTTCACAGAGCCCTGATAGACTTTTTCTTGGCGAGACAGAAGGCTGCCTTCACACTGTTGATAGTGCCTGTGCTCCACCCCCTTTTGGCATCTCTCCCTGCATTGTTCGCCGTGTGCCTTCTAGAATGAAATCCCACAAACTCTCTCCATCTTTTGCTGTTCAGGCCTATCTTCTAGCCTGGCCTGATGACCTGGGAGCAGGATGTCCTCAGGATTATGTCTGGTTATGTGGTATTCACTATTACCAAGTTATCCCACCCAATTGGTCAGGTACTTGCAATTTAATTGACCTGGCTCCTGCTATCACAGTGCTAGATCAGCTTATTTACACCACCCATCACTATCCTCAGTTTGTGCCCTCTTCTTATGGCGATCATAGGTCAGAAAGGTCGATCATGGTTTCTACAGGTGAAAAAGTAGCAGGTGGCATTTTTCCTTGGTGGGGTACAGTTCATCTGGCTTATAGGTTAGATTCTTTGCACACTTGTCTGGAGAACTTAACTGCTTTTGTTGAGGAAGGCTTTTCTGCATTGTCTCCTTTTCTGCTAGCGTCGAGAAATATGCTACTGCAACACCACATGGCTTTGGATCTTTTGTTGGCTTCGCAGGGAGGACTCTGTCATGTCATCGGTCCGATGTGCTGTTCTTACCTCCCTGATGTCTCTGGAAACATTTCTATGACAATTAATCATCTTAATAGTCTGCTCACAGATATGAAAGCAGAAGACATCCCACCCCTCCCCCCGGAATTGGATAGATTGGGTCGCAAACGGGGGGTGGCAGGTCTGGCTGAGAAGATTGTTGGTCCCCATTATTTGCTTATTTTTTTCTGCTTCTCATTCTCTCATGTTGTGTGGTACCCGCCTTCAAAAGGTGCCTAGTGAACCTGTTCACAGCCACTTTGCTGAAACATTCTCATCAGTACACGGCTCTTCCCCAGGGCAGGACACAGATACCCCTGCTTCCTGTTGCACGGCTGGAACCACTCAGTTTCAGTGGAACTTCTGACACTGTGATAAATTAGAACAGGTGGTTGTTTTCGTTTTTTCTGGTTATTTTTTAAATTTGGTTATGTTTGTTTATTTAATGGTTTTCTAGCGTTTTTGTCCTTATATGCAGCTTCTTGGTAAAGTTTAGGTGATTGTCAGCTGAGTCTCGGGGAGGCTCCTCCCACGACAGTATTCTGCTACCTCGAGCCTGGTACGCCACGGAGACATATTTGAGGGTCAGTTCACCTGTCTGGGTTTGTTGTTGAGGTCCGGGAGCTGAGATTTGCAGTCTAACAACATCTATGTCATCACAGAAGGACTAGATTTAGGCTTACTTTAGTTTTAGGCTCCGAATACAAAGAGGAGGGAGAGGCTTTGTTTTTAGATCCATGGGGTTTTCTTTTTAGGTTTAGCTTTTGTTTATTTAAGTTTTGTCTTATTTTGTTTTTCTTTTTATTTTTTGACCTTTTTGTTTAGATTTTGTTTCTATTTTTCCTTTGTTCTTTTCTCATTTTCTGAACTTTTCCTCTTCGGCGTTACGTCAATCTCTTTTCAGTGCACAAGCCAGTTTGTTTTAATGCCAGTATTAATGAAGTTTTGAGTTCTTGCCTTTTTGAACTCCGTGATTTTTTTCATTAAAGGTGATTTTGAGTTTTTGTTTTTGTTTCTTTAGCTTTAAAGTCTCCATTACTTTTGAACTGATTTCATCATATTTGCATTTTTTATCTTAGGTTTTTAAGTTTGATTTTTTGATTTGGATGTTTCTTCATGTGGAATGTTCGTGGGTGGAATGAAATCTTCCTGAATGGGGTGGAAAGTCATTTTAATTGTTTTTATTGACATTATTTCTTCAATCATTCTAAGGTTCTTTAAAGTTTTGTAATCTCCATTTATCATTTGTTGTTTAACTTGTTTAAATCTGTTATTTCAGAAGTAAATGCCTTTCAGCATCTTCTTTGATTTGTCTTGTCCTAATTTGCATTAAGGTTCATTTATTGACAACTTGTTGTTATTAAGTTAACACTTTATCCAAGTTAAGGTTCTGATGGCACATAGGTGGTAAATGTCACTACTAATTCACTGGGAGGCAGAACTTGTGTTGTAATACCTTGTTGAATTTTGGACTTTTAAGTTTTTTAAATTTCGACATGTTTTTTTTTCTTCATTGATTCTTCAGAAGGGTAATGATTTGTCATTTATCACTTTTTCCTATTATATCTTGCGTTGATTATATATGTTTTTGGTCATCATATAAATTGCACCTTTTTTCCTCATTTTGCATTGTATTTGTTGTTGCTTTTTGCATTTGTGTTTAGACGTTTAATAATTATTCCTTTTGATTTGGTTTGAGTAGTGTTTACTCAAGAGGAGGGATTAAAAAGAAAAAAAATTGTATATGTCTTCTGGACGGGTTCTTCTCTAATGAAACGTTTCGTCTCTCCTCCAAGAGACTTCTTCAGTCTGAGAGTTTCAGGCAAA